GTGGCCAGGTATGCGCCGGACGGTGCAAACGCACAGCCTTTTATCTCCGAGTCGTGGCCCTCCAGAACCAGTGTGAACTCCCAGTCCTTGTTGCCAACATGGCTCGTTTCGTCGCTGTCGCCGCTTCCCACTTTTCTGCCGAAGGCTGTGATTTCTACCTCATTCTCATCCGAAGGTGCCCCATCTGTCGCCGCCGTAGAGTCGCCGCCCCAGCGCCATAGTCCCGCGGTAGCATCAAAGCTTCCGGACACGAGGCACAGCTTATGAGGCGGTAGGCCAGGCTTCCAGGCTACGGATCGAACGGATCGGGTATGGCCACCGGTCAGGTTGCTATGGCACGAAAGCGTGGACAGAGAAAAAACGGTGACGGACTTTGCGTGGGCTGTCGCAATCAAGGGGAGGGTCGGGTGCGGTATTGATGCCCATGCTCGTTCATGGAGGTCAGGTTGGAAAGGTTCGATCAAGGTAATCGTGGCTGTCGTTGACGAAGAACGTGACGCTGCGGGGGGCATTTTCAGGTACACGATTTAAGCGGTTCAAGGACAGTTTGCGGGCTCGTGGATAGATTGGCGACAGAGAGGGCTCGAAGGTTTCCCCAGCATTCGACTTCTGGCGGTCAGATCGAGCCAGGGCAGCTGGAAAGGCGGAGAGGGCGCAGAGGGCGCTGCAAACGCGACGATGTAGGGAATAGGTACTTTGCAGTCAATCCCGATGTCGCAAACACGGCGGCCATGCCATTGCGGCTGTTGCCCCGCTGATAAGATACGAACGAGTAGAAGGAATTGCCCATCCACCCGGACGTAGACACCCAGGATTGCCCGAAGAAATTTAAAAAAAAAAAAAAAAAAAAAAAAAAAAAAAAAAAAAAAAAAAAAAAAAAAAAAAAAAAAAAAAAAAAAAAAAAAAAAAAAAAAAAACTGCATAGAGTATGTTTGATCATTCCATCATCTACATTAAAGCTCTCTAGCATCATTGCACCCCTCATATACTATCTAACCTCGAGTCCGTGCACGTCCGCGTTGGTCAATAATTCACCACCTTCATAGTAGCCACGCCTAGACCTGGGTTGGACTCTTCAAACTCCCAGCAAAATGTGACTTGTCATCCTCGTCACTCCCTCAGATTGGAGCCCTTCCTCCCTCGTGCTTTCCGGGGCAGACAAACCCATATTGCAATTAGGAAAACCAATACTGCCAGAATAATAGGCTGCAGCACTCCAACGCCATGACCTTCTGCGATGGCACCAACAGCAAACGGCAAGACAGCAGCGCCGCCGCCTCCAATGGCAGACGAAAATCCAATGGCACTGACGTGATACTCGGTAGGTAGTATTTGGGTTGAAACGACGATGGCGGCCGGAAAGAGCGGCCCCAGAAAGAAACCCAAAGACGATACGAACAACATGGCACCGACCGTGGTGGGAACTAACCAATAGGCAAGTTGAAAAGCAATGCATAATACTAAATATGCAGCAATGGCGAGCCTCTCTCCAACCCGACCCGTGACGAAACCTAAAACAATTCGGCCTAGTGATAAGCCGAGCCAGAAGAGTGTGGCAGTGACGCCGGCCAGAAGACCGTCGGCATGTCTCTCTTCCATCATGAAAGTTGGAATCCAACCACCTAGACTAACCTCTGCACCGGCATACAGGAGTAAAAAGATGGCGACAAGCCATGTGACGGGCTCTCGGAGGACTGTGGCCGTCCTTGCTCCTCCATCAGAGCCCCCTTTGTGAAGCTTCTCGCGGTGTGCTGCTCCAGTAGCACCCCAAAAAGCCCACAGTCCAAAGGAAAGCTCAACACACACAATCAAGATGAAGATGTAGTAGAAGGAGTACCAGGGCATCTTCAGCTTGGCCACCATAGTCGACGAAATAATAGGTGCCACAGTTGCGCCGAGACCAAACGCCCCGTGAATGATGCCCAGCAACTCGTTGGTTTGGTGCATATTGCCGACCCACGCATTGTAAGCACTATCTTCAATACCACTTCCAAATCCAGTGAACATGAAGAGTATAGGTAGAAGGGGGAATGGCGGACGAAAGACTATTGGAATATATCCGACGAGGCGGAAGAGTGGGCCTAGGAACGCGATGCCTCGCTGGCCAACCTGATAGTGAATCCAGTTATTCGACAGTGCTGCGGTAACATATCCAAGAAACGGCACTATGAATATTGTTGAGACAGTGGTATGGCTTATATCGTAGTAGTCTTCGATCTAGTGAGGGTCAGCTTCATTTATTCATGGCGTATGGCAGGTAGACGCGACCATCTACACACAAAGCCAACTCACATATGGGAGGAGAGCCTAGTTTTACGAGAAAAGTTGTCGCGCGTATCAGCATATCATGCAATTCTTCAAATCATGACGGAATAAAATGAGCTGCGCAATCAGTTTTGATACATACGCCGATGCAGCCGTCATGCATGCCCATAACGAAAAACGACAAGTTAACCCCGCAATATCGATACATGTTGATCCGTGGATTGTTCCATGCTTCGCGACGGGGGTTGACATCCACTTCGAGGCCGTCTGTATCATCTTGGAGATCATCATCGGCTACCTCAGCACCATCTTCCGTGTTTCGCAAGAGACTGGCAGCGGCCGCTTCGTTGTCGTGGGATAGTTGGTCTTCGTCACTGTCCTGGAAACTCATCCACCGTGGCACAGGCCTAGAGAGAGGAGGGCTAGCCATGTCGAGAGGTAACGGCTATACGGAGACACGGAAAGAGGAAAAAGCTTGGATAGTCTATTGAATAAACAGAAGGAAAGCGAGTGAAGAAAAGACAGATGCGCCGATAGTAGAAGACACTATTGTGTCCAATTTACCAAGCAGTCAAGTCATCGTTGGTTTTTGGCGATCCGATAGTGTGGTTCCTAGATGACTATGAAGGGGGAGTGAATGGCCGGCCAGGCATATCGAATTGGGGTGATGGAAATTGGTCGGTGTGGTTATCGGACGGAAACCATGTCGGAAAGCAAGTTGGAACTTGGGAACCTCCACATTTGCTGCATGTTGAGAGGCTCCATGTTCAATTGAGAGCGATGAGGGCCCCCTCCTTCCTCCGACATCTAACCTAAAGTACTCACTAAAGTCCCTTGTTTTTTGGGCAGGTGCTCTGTACTCATCCCCGATAACGGAAAAACAAGACCTCAAGTCCTGGCCTCCCAGATCTTAACCGCATTAAAGATGTCAACTGGTGTCTGGTCTCTTCCCTCCATCACCCACTTCACTAGGACAACTTGATCCGCCATGTGCCTAGATCCCACGTGACTAACTATATGGCTGCGACGGTGGGCACATTAGCCGTCCTCAGTTTTCACCTTATTCTGGCTCCTCAGAAAAGTGACATCATTTGTTCCTCAGCCATTGTCACTCACCACCATGAGGCTATCGGATTCTTGGGCATTTCCGCATACGACGGGCTGCAACAATGGCTGCATTTACTCTGCATCGTACTTGGACTAGCACAAAAGCCGCCACGTCATTCTCATTTCGCGAGCGTACAGTTCTTCTACTCCTGTGTACTTGATCTGGTATGGTTGCCCACGTTCATACTCCACACGATTAGGGAACTCCGGGTCGCCATCTGGTCAATTGCTCGGGGCGCTCATCCATTTTACTCGGGGCGCTAACGCCCCAATTTTTCTGCGGTCAACCCCGCTGCCAGACCCCATAGTACATTCTCAGTAAAAATGCATGGCAGCTTTACTCAACACTAAAAAGCTCTATTAAAAATTAACGGATTTTTTAATAAAGGTGCAGCCGTATGAATTTTTCAGCGGGCAGTAGCGTTTTTCCTTCTTTAACACTACCTCGGCCTGAAAGTGTACAGCGGCTTAAAAAAAATCATGTAAATTACACAAGCACCTTATCATTTAATTGAGGGCATTTACTGCCATGCATTTGAACTGAAAATGTACTGTGGGGTCTGGAATCGGGGCCGCTAGACCAAAATTGGGGCGTGGTGGGGTATTGAGCGCCCCGAGTAAAATGGATGAGCGCCCCGAGCAGTTGACGCCATCTGGTGCCGCCCGCCTCCTTGGTGTACCCTTCAAATGTTTTGACTGGTGACCACCCTTAGTGAGCACCTAGAGTAGTCCGTCTTCCTCTGTCAGACCTGGTCCCTGTTACATTTGATGAAGCGACTGAAAACGATGGCTACTGTCTTGGTCCCAAGACTGACTGTCCATGGCTCGGGTACGTGCATGTCAGCTGCCCGCCACTTCCTTCCACTAGCTCGGCCTCTTCGCCATATCAATTTGGGCTGAGCTTACCGAGTGTCATACCATAGCCTCCGCAGAGACCGACAGTCGGAGTCACTGAGCAGCTTCTGCGCCGGAAAGCAGCTTCTGACTTGAATCAATTCTGGGCTTTCATTGCTACTGATCTTTGAGTTCCCCCAAGGTTGCTGCTCTTGCCGAAGCCTCCACTTTTTCTTCTTCAAACAGTCTTATTGCCGTCGTCATGTCTAATCGTCAGGTAGACCGGCTCAACTCAAGCCGCCTGTCAGACCGTCATCTTGACTATTACGCCTCGGAGCGCCAGTCTGGCAGAAGCAGAGCATTAACTGTAGTGTAGTTTTGTAGTTTTGTAGTTTTTGTAGTTTCGAATATAAAAAATTATATTAAATCTAATAAAATACTTATAAGATTATAAGTTTTACGGATAACTAGTATAAATTCTATATTATAAGCTTATATTAAAAAGTGGGTCCTTATATAGCATTATAAGCTTAAAACTTCAAAAACTACAAAATGTAGTTTTTGTAGTGTAGTGTAGTGTAGTGTGTTTTTAGAAAATTACATAATCTAGTTTTTAAGCTTATAATAAGCTGGAAGGACCCACTTTTTTATGTGAGCTGATTGGTTATAATATTAGCTAATTTATGTATTTATTATTATAATTCAAGTATTTTATTAGATTTATTATTAATTATTTAAGCTTTTTTGAAAATTGAAAATGTAGTTTTCTTGTCAATGCTCTGGGCAGAAGTGCCATGTCCAAGGTACCTGGCCAGGAGAATATGCCCCAGGGCTTGAATGAGTCTTACTATCGAGAGAGCGCCGTCGCACTTGGAATGCCCATGGATGACGGATCTCGTTCTCGTTCAATGCCACCACCGACATCTGCTGTCGTTCGTTATCCCCGGTCCCCATCAGTTTCGTCTTCTAGATCCTCCTCTCGCTCAGATCGAGGTAGATCATGCGCTCGCTCCTATTGCAGTGTGTCTCGCGACAATGAACACAGCCCTGATTCGATGAATCAAACTCGCGGTGTAATTCAAAACAATTTCTCTCAAACGAAGGCAGGAATTGGAGCTGGTATTGTTGGAGCTGTCATCGGAGGACTTGTCGCCAAGCAGGCTTCTGAAGCAGCATTTCGCCACAAGCAAAAACAAAGTGGTCGCCCACGTCGCCACAGCTCTGAGACCATACCTCGTATGGCGTCTACTGTGCTCGGTGCTGTAGCCGGTGCGTTGGGTGCAAATGCAGTGACCCATAGATTGGAAGATGCCAGAGAAAGAAACAGGAGTCAGCAATTAGCGTGGGAAAAACGGCATGACCGAGAAGAGGACCTAAACCACTACGATAACAGAAGACTACAAGACTGGAATTACCCAAATGGCAAAGGGTATCTTTTTGACGTTCATGACTACGACCATGTATACGGCAGAGACCGGCAACAAGATGGCCAGCACTCAAGACGACGTCGCATTGAAGAATCACAGTTCTATCACTACCGAGACTAGTCCTCCTCAACTTGTTCACCAAGCACACGTCCTCAAAGACTAGTGTTTCAAATGCGAGTTTTCTTGAATATCTTTGGTCTAATTCGTATAAATAGCTGTTGCTTGTTCTAATGGCACATGTTTCAACCTACCGCCAGGCTTAGATAAGCTGCATTGCGATCAAATGAATGCATATCATGCTATCATTGAACATCCTCTGGAAGCGATATTATGCCCTTTGAGAGCCAATCTTACTTATTTAGTTGATGGATAATGAGACACAGCTTCAGATTCTGCATATCCGTTGTCCTCGACAAAAATCCTTGCCTTATTTTCTGAAACATTATACAAAGATGCCATCTATGTATTAACAAATCCATACAGCAAAAAAAAAAAAAAAGCAAGAAAAAAAAAGGAATAGGGGAGCCTACAGCTAGTCAGCCACCAAACTGTGATCGTCATTTCTCTTTCTGAAATCTTGCACTACATAGTAAATTAATAAGAACCCGCCAAAGCGAGGAGAGCCTTTCTGTGTACTGTGGCGAGACGTAATCCACTTCTGCGCTTGACTTCATCGCAAGTCTGCATGATGGCTATTCTGCCAACCAGTACTCCCAGGAACGGTTGACCTAGTGTGTCGCCCTACGGGCTCATGGTTTGCACACTCCCTCTCTACGATCATTCTGAAAAACCGACCTATTTCGGCCAGGGCTAGCTGTTGAGCGTTAGAAACGTTCAGCATGTTAAACAGAGATTGCGAGTCGATTAGCTGCTTCGCAATAACCGAGTCTGGTTGGCAGAAGGTGCGAACACGAATAGCACGAGCATTGACCTTCATGGAATGAAGAAGGCCCATTATCTCTGCCGGGTTATTTTGCCGTCGTCCATAAAAGTTGAATTCCTTGAGGTGTAAGGCTACCAACTCTAGCTGGGTTTCCAAGTCGTAACGAAAACTAATTACTCTTGGCCTGCCTTGTTGGATCCAGGAGTCTGATGTCTTTTTGAGATTGTCAGGTAGCAAATGCCCTTTTTCGAATTCAGCGGTGATGTAATCGTTCATGGCAGAAGATAAATGGAACTCTAATTCACAGTATAGTAAACTTTGCTCTCGAGCATCCAAGGATATAGTAACATGGGATGAGTTCGTCAAATCCGGCGATGAGAGATTTGATCGCCTGTACGACGTGTTCAGCTCCGCTGTCTAATGCCCTATTAGTTGGTCTGTGACCTAATGCATATATTTTGTCACTATACGTACCACGTCCTTTGCGATCTTTTTGATGCTGTTTAGAAAAAAAACCAGCTTTTTTACTTGCGGCTTCTTCTCAGCGTCATCAACTTTGCCTGTGCACTCTAGCCACCCATTTTGACCAATCATGGTCTTCTCACCTTTCCTTATGGAAGGGAAGTTTTGTCCCCGAAAGTAAAGAGGTAATGGTGAGAACTGTGGACTCGGTTCAATCATTCTGTTCAGATGGTGTGAGACCTCATGCCGAGCCACACCGGCAATGGCCTCATCTGACGGTGGTGATGGGACGCTACACGAATCTAATGGGTCCGGTGTACTTTGAGATCTTTTTGGTCTCTTCATGAGACTCTGATGTCTCTTTGGGTACTCTGGCCGAGCGCCTTGAATATTTGACCACGAATTGTACATGTCGAGAATAGCCCCGTTTACTTCTTGCCCCGGACTCTCATAGTCAGTTGTATGCGTTGTATGCTCGGTCTTCCCAGAACATATGTAACCACTGCTTCCAGGTCCGGGCCGATCGCCCTCTCCAGATTTCTTCTTTCCTGAGGACTGTCTTTCAGGCAAGAGCTCCAAGCCAGAAACTGACTCTTGTCTGGAGTGATGGATATGGGGCTGTTGCACCTGCGCGATTGTATTTATTGGAGGCGGAGGCGTATGGTTCCGACGTTGAGCCAAGCTCTCAACGCCAAGTACCCAATCCGGGTTCTTCGATTCCATTTCAAGGAAAGTGGGAAAGCCGTAATCAGCATGATTTTTGCCACCTGTCCGTTCATGTGCCATTTGTGCTTCATTCCCATCGCAAATATCCCTCTTGGGGATCAGGGGCGTTGGCACCACTGGCTTCTGCGCTCTGGTAGGGCTTTTATCGACTGTATGGGTAATACTTGGGTAAGAGTTGGTCAGTTAATGTGTCTTACATGGGGTCATTATTGATCCGAAGAGTCAACCTACGCTTGGGTGACTTTGTTCATCTGTCGTTCGGTTAAGTTGACGCGTATGGTCAACGGCTGTCGGGCGTGGCGCTTCCCAGGCGAACTGCTATGAGACTTTACTACATATACTCGTTTCGGCGTCATGGGCGATGTTGATGGCGGCTGACCACTGTGGTCAGTAGTGCCTGGATTTGGTCTCGGCGCCTGGGGAGTCATTTAGGTTTGTCTGCTCAGTGCATGCAGTACATGCGGCAGATCAAGATGAATACCAGACTATCATGTGCATGGGATGTCGCGAGCTAACTGCGGTACGCGGGCTTGGAGGGTAAACAGGCCACAGGACACAAGCAATGCAGTACTTGAATAAGGGTTTGCGAGTCGATTTCAACAGGCGGCACAGAACTGGCACGAGTCGGTGCATGTTGTTGTTTTGTTTTGCTATGAAATGGGAAGCACACGTGTGCACCCATTAATTAGTCTGCCAGCTGGCAGCGGCGGCTCTGGCAGCTGGCAGCAGCAAAGAAGGGGGTTATCTAGATACACCAGGTTTGCTTGCCAACTGGCTGTTCTTGTAAACCGATCACTGATGGAGGCAACTAGAAGTCAACCCCGGTGCCGATGTAAGATGAATTTCCGGTAGCAGTCCTGATACACTACATACCTACGTACTTAAGGTATGTACCTACCGGGTCATCAGGTACACAAGATACAGGAGATGCCGCTGACTGACATCTCGAACCTCATATCTCCAAGTGCTATGTGTAAACGCCGCTGGCATCAGGTTGATATCCTTTCGGTGGCGGCAGTGAGAGACAGCAAATTGAGTTGAAAGCGGTAGCCAACGTACGCCAGACTTGGATCAGCCAGGAAACTATGCAGCTATTAATACATAGTGGTCTAGGCTTTTGTGCCTGTGACGATGTTGGGTTGCTCAAAAACATGTACAGCTTGATGCAGAGGCTGCTGTTGGCCTGTGCAGACGAGGTCAACAATCAACTTGCCCAGTTGGTCAGCATGATGACCATGTTTGGTTATTTCTGCCACCAGCTCCACTCCTCCTTCACCCCTCCACTCCTCAAACCTGCTCAAGTGGTTAGACTTGCCGATGTCAGATCCCGAGACTACACTGTCAAGGTGCCGAATACTCCGTACTGCTTCCTCTTTTTTTTGTCATTCCACCAACGCACTTGAACGGATTCCGTGCGCTCCCCGCCATTTACCCCCGGTTTCCCCTCAGATGATGGAGGGAACGTACCTAGGTAGTCGCCACTACGAAAGAAGTACATTCAATCTGCAGTCAAGGTGGCGATGAGCAAAAGAACAACCCCGAAAAACACATCATTGTAAGTGAAGGCTCCACATGTCCACCCAGACTCGCAAACTCGATAGCGAGGGCTGGAGGATGGCGCATAACGGTGGGCGGGTGCAGTCTTGCATTGGATACAAGGGAAAAGCAATGAATGTCTCCTAGTTTATCGCTGCAGCCGCTTGCTTGGTGGTGCCAAATACTCTTTCAGTTCACGAAGTCGACCCAGTTTTGACTCCCGTTTCCTGTTCCCGTGTCTTGCCCTAGTTTCTTTCCTATCGAGCTTAGTGCTCCGTACCTAATGTACATGCGATACGTACTATGTATTAGCAACCACCCATTCTCCACAGCATCCGGCCCCGCTACTCTTCCATTGGTTGACGGGAGTACTGGCTCCCTGCCTGATGCCACCCCCCCATTCCTCAAAGTCTAAGTATCAAATCCCTCCCGTGTTCAAGTGCCATTTCATCTTTCGCCGCCCTGGGAACCGTGTCTGCAGCCATCCGATCCGTGCTCTCGGGGGAGTGGCGCGGCAACCGTCCTATCTGTACGGATCACGGAGCAGGTAACCACATGTAGGCATCCAGGCCACCCAGCTAGGCACCTCCCTACTTACCCAAGGTACTGCTTTTGTGGTCAACTATTTGTCTGGGCTTCGGAGTTAGAGTCGGAAGCTTGGGCATTTGCCAGCCAACTGTATTACTTGTATGTACGCAAGTACTCCCGTAGGATCGGAAGTTCGGGGTATTGTGTCTGTACTCTTGACCGGAATCATGTACTCCCGCATCCACTGCACCATTGAATCACATTAACACGCCGCACCCACGCGCCTTCTCCATTGATAAATACAGCTCTGCACCTCATACGCCTCGGTCTGTCAATTCTGGTCTATTCAACGTACCAGTCAGACTTAACTCTAGAATCCCCCTTCTGCATCTCTCTACCATAGCAAAGTATTGCAGTTGCCACTGACAGTCTCCAAAACCCGTCTTCTGAAGGCGGGCGTACAGAGTTATTACATCACACCCCGACACAACCCAACCTTCGCCTACTTTCCCAATTTTCGACTGTGTTGACTCACCCTGGTGGCTAGTTTCCCTTCATAATATCTTTTTCTCCCCTTCTTCCCTCCCCTCTTTGATAGCGATCCCTTCCTGTGCAAGTGCTATTCCTTCCAGCTCACTGCTAGGCACTATGACTGAGCCCGCTGTTGAAGGAGAGCCTTTTCAGTACTATGACATTGGTATGATTTCTGACTTGGCCCCAGACCACTCACTACATCCGCAAAATGTCTTGTCGTCTGTGATGATGCCTGACGCTAACTCGAATGATTGTAGTCATTGTGGGAGCTGGCCCAGTCGGGCTAATGCTCTCTACCTGCTTGGCTAGATGGGGCTATCGAGTAAAGCATGTTGACAACCGACCAGAGCCGACAAAAACTGGACGAGCTGATGGCATCCAGCCCCGGTCGTTGGACCTGCTTCGAAACATGGGACTGAAGACGGGGCTCATGGCTCACAAGCCGGCTCGAGTTTACGAAGTTGCCTTCTGGAACCCAGACCAGTCCGGTAACGACATTGTTCGAACCGGAACATGGGCTAGTTGCCCAAACTTTATTGATGCCCGCTATCCTTTCACCACATTGCTGCACCAAGGACATATCGAGAATGTTTTCATCAATGATCTGGAAAAGAACGGCGTGCTGATACAGCGGCCATGGACCATTACACACTTCGAGTCCGACGAGCAAGAAAACTCTGAGTACCCCGTGCGTGTTGAGTTGAAACATGTAGATGGGACAGCTACAGAAGCAGTCCGGGCTAAATATCTATTTGGTGGCGAGGGATCGAGGTCCTTCGTACGTCGGCTGCTAAACATCCAAGTGAAACATATCGATCCTATACAGCATGTATGGGGAGTTATGGATGGCGTTGTTAAGACAGACTTTCCTGATATCAAGGTACGTAACCGGGAAATTTATTCAGTAGACATGTGGTTGGTGCGTATCTAATCAGGTCTGGTCATGGCAGATGAAATGCACGATACACAGCCACCACGGTTCCATCATGGTCATCCCAAGAGAAGACAACATGGTTCGACTCTATATCCAAATCGCGTCTTCAGACGAACCAGATTGGAATCCAAGAAAGACAGCTACGTCCGGAGAGGTGCAAGAGGCGGCAAAGAAGATCCTGCACCCGTATACGATAGATTGGGAGCGCGTCGAATGGTATTCGGTGTACCCCATTGGGCAAGGAATCTCGGAAAGGTACAGCCTAGATCAGCGCGTATTTCTGGGTGGTGATGCATGCCACACGCATAGCGTAAGCCCAATCTATATCTCCCCTATACGGAACCGGCATACTTGCCTTGAGAAAAGCTTAGTACTAACAAAGTCCATCGGCAACACTCGTACAGCCCAAGGCAGGTCAAGGCATGAACACCGCCTTTCTAGATGCTCTCAACCTGGCCTGGAAGATACACGCGGTCGAAGGAGGCTTTGCACACCGCGATCTGCTCAAGACTTATGAGACGGAGCGCAAAGGGGTGGCGGAAAGTCTGTTGGACTTCGATAATAGATATGCAAAGTTGTTTTCCCAGCGGCCTCCTGCGGCTAAGGAAGTAGAGGCAGCCACTGAAGGGTGCCCCGCAAACCGCGGCGAGATAGAGGAAGACGAGTTTGTTAAGATGTTCAAGGAATCGTGTGAGTTTACCAGCGGATATGGTGTGGCTTATGGGCCGAATGAGGTGAATTGGTCAGTGAACCATCAGGCCAAGTCGACTCTTATTCACCCTGAAGGCACCAAGCTTCGAACGGGCCATATATTCATCAATTCGGACGTTACAAGAGTGGTGGATGCAAATGTAGTACATTTGGAGCAGGAGATACCGCTCAATGGCTCATTCCGTATCTTCATCTTTGCCGGAAATCCAGCCGTTACTCACACTGCCTTGCAAGATCTGGCCAATAGTCTCGGTGCGGAACGCTCTTTCTATGGCGCATACGCCAGAAAAGATGTCAACACGGTATCACACCATGAACGACACAATCCGCACAGCTTGTTTTTCACCATTTGCACAATATTTGCTGCCAAGCGATCGAGCATTGAAATATCTAAGGATGTACCCCGACTTCTAGCACGATATCGGGACCACATTTACGCTGATGATAGATGGGATCGAAGGGTGCCCGATTCAAGAGCCTCGGCCCATGCCAAGATGGGTTTGGATGAAGAGAGGGGTGCTGTGGTGGTGGTTCGCCCCGACGGTTATGTTAGCGTGATTGTGAGTCTCGTGGAGGGAAGTGGAACGGTGAACGCGTTGAACGAGTACTTCTCGGCGTTCTGCAGTAAGAACCTAGTAGCAGGTACTTCCCAACTGTAGCATCATGACTACTGATGTGGCAAACGTTGATATAATGGTGTACACTACGTTGAAAGACGAGGGGTGCATGAGTAACGACGAGCATTTGACAGACGACGGCCCTAAACGTAGCTTAAGACCATGATTGGAACATGAATCTCATTGCTGCGATATAACGGCTCTTTGGTTTCAGATGAAAGAGGGAGATGGAAGATTCGCGCGTGAGAATAGATACATTGTTGTCGTTACAATCAACATCGTGTTTGGCCATATCCTCTCGTCATTATCTAAAGAGCTTACAAAGAGTAGTAGTTCTGTATTTAGATGCCGAGGCGAACGGAGGATGTCAAATATAAGAAATATGGTTTCAAGTTAGAGTGATTGTAATATCACCCCATACCTTTTTAGAATCCGAGTATCTGAGTCGTAACTGGATTCGATGGGCCAGGCCAACATGAAGACCGAAGCCATCAAGTCGAAGGCGCTTGGACGTGTACAACCCCCCGGGGGGCCGCGGGCCTTGCTTCTCTCATGATGACTAAATTTTCCATTCTAGAATGCTCAGCTGGTATATCAAAGAATTTGTGCGCTTAGGCGGCGAGTCTCAGTTCAAAGAGATAGCTCCATGCATCGAATGTTGGAGATGTGGGAGTGAAGTCTAACTGTTGCTCATATACAGGCTTGGTGGTTAAGTTGCATCGAACACATCGGAATTTGTGTCTGCCATCACGATCGATCTCAGATCCTGAGTTCCCTAGTCCCTGGGATGTGGTAACTATGGTTATGGCAGGGTATGAAGCTTCTCAACTTGTAATAAACTACCCCCCAGGTGGGTAGACTTCTCAAGGCCAGTGTCTGCCAATCAGAGTGACAGCTCAGAGAGCCTGAGGGTGGGAGGGGCACGCAGAGGCGCTAGGGCTGCTTCAAATGTGGATGAAGTCCCGCGTTTCATTGCCCCCGAGGTTCTTCCAGGGGCAAACCACACCCACTAAGCCCAGCAAATCCTCCCAGCTATTCAACAAGGCATTTTAAACCAGACAGCTTCAAGTTGGTCATTGGCCCTCCCAGCGAAGCTGCGCGCTCCAACGCCAGCACCTCGCTTAGACTTGCCCTTTTCTTCGACCGTCTCGCCTACAGCTCGGTATCGTCTTCATTCTAACTTTCGTCTACGCAACACTCAACAACAACGCGCTCGCGACGCAACAGCTCCTCCACGTCGTATGGCAAGGCCTTAACGCGACTTCCCTCGTTGTACTCGGGCTTTGGATCTCTCTATTTTCGTCGTCTCTTCCGACTTCCCATCACTGCTTCGGTAGGCAATGCTTCTTTTGCTTTTGCTTTAAAGCTCACTTGCGCTTTACTTTCTTGATGGCTATCGTCGCTTGCGACTGCTACTACTACAACTATCGTATTGCTTCGAACCATCTTCGCTTGCTCGTCTTCTCGCCATCAGGGCTGCCGCGGCTTTCTTAGGCAGGTCCAACGCATTGAGTTTCATATCTCGTCATTCAAGCTTGACACTGTCACCAAGACAAGATGTCTGAGTCCCAGCAAGGCTGGCTCTCCTCTTTCTCGTCACTTCCTTCCTTGATATACTCGCCTATTTCTCGGTTCATCAACGGCTCCCCGGACGGTTCTTCGGGCGCTCCCGCGAATCTCTGGCCAGTCGTTTGGTCGGAAAGTACCTCGGACGACCCAGAAGCTTCTGAGACCGCTACCGATACCCCTTCGAACTCGTTTGCTAATCCTGACTCTTCGTTTGTTGATCACGAAAAACAGAGACTCTCTTTTTGCTTGCTTTTTGAAGGAAAAGTTATTCGTGCTGACCGCCTGCGTAATATTAGACGTCCTTGGTTGCCTCGATTCTCCAAGCTAAAGAGACATTACCCCCCAGTTGAACGCATTCAGACCGAACGAAGCCCAAAGGCCAACACTGATCCTCCACATTCGTACCGAAAGCCACGATCCTTTCCTAGACAAAGACTCCTGGCCGATACTATCTATCCTCGGCTTGAACCATCCGATCCTAGACAAAAAGATATTTGTTTTGCGTTGGCATCTCTGCATAGACAGCGGGCACCGCAAGAGCCAAGACCTGCACCACAAGCTCTTCGTCCCCCCGAGAACCTGAATACAGTGTTTGTGGAAATCAATGGAATTCGTACAAACAAACGTCGCGCTGAAGACCTCGAGGTTGATCTGGTTGCTGCCATTCAAACATCGACTCATACTGATCCTCCATCATCTATTTCTATTTCTCGCGCAGGGTTTTTTCCGGAATCCGAGTCCGAGTTCCGGGAAGATATCCAGGTAAGTATATTTCGCACACTGCGTCCGACATGAACTTAAACTTACCCTCTCGCGCCACAGGCGCACATGTCCAACACAAAACCTCTTCCAGAACTCATCACCGGGATGATGACCAACATCTTGTCCACCTTTTCAGATCTGACCGGTATATTCAGCCGACTTTGTACGTACCTCGTTTTCGTTGCCTGCTTTGACTTGATACATGACGTTGACATCTGAACCAGTGTATAATCAAGCCTACGAAGTGTCCGAGTCTCGTTCCTATATTCATATTAAAGATCCATCCGGTCTCGATGTCGCCAAGAAGCGTGTCAAGCTTACTTCTGAGAAGTCCGACTTCCAATGGTTGGATCGAGATGGCCTTCACTTACTCCTTTCCCGCTATAGCCACTTTTGCCATTGCTTTGACAAAGCCAGCTCTATCCTCTATGCTCACCCGTCGCGTGCGGAGATGAACAAACTCCTGAAACCACTCTTACCGGTCTTGGCGGATAATGCTGATGATCTCAACGCGCTTAGCTTAGGCTACGATGGCGTGGATCTCTGCAGATTCTGGTTTTACTTATGCAGGTCCATGATTACTTATTTAAACACTGTCTATGAAATAGGCAGTTTCATCAAGATGAAGAACAAGCACCATAGAGTGCCAACGGTCTGGCCAAATTCTCCCTCATCAGAAACGCTGGAGACAGCGGCACGAATCAGGAGGTTTCTGTCCGACCCAAGCCTTTTTGTTGTGCTGAAGACCATTCTTGAACTGACCGACGAATTGGTGAATTATCCTATGCCAACCGACATGATCGATCGAGTGGTCCTCGACATGGCAGCAGTTCAGCACAACATCGTCTTTCCAAGTTATGTGCAGTCTGAACATTTTCACGAACGACTTCTGGAGTATTTCCCGCCTCCTCAACGATTGGATCCAGACTACGCCTGTCCAGTCCTCCCCGGAGCCTTTCCTGAGGTTGACTCGGAGTTTCACGATGTCGGCTTAGTGGACAAGCCTGAAGTTCTTTCTTTGCCTCCGCCAAGCGTTGAACCACCTCCTCGCATCGTCAGAAAGGGTTCAACGAAGACTGACCGCTTGAGAGCCGAATTTTTTGCGGCCGAGACATCTCGCCTCACACCGGAGGAATTCCAGACGAAGTACAGCGGACCAAGGGACGATCACCGCGACATAGAAAACGACTACAGTGCAGATTCTATCACAAAAAAGCCACTCACAACAGCCCAGATCGGAGTTGTTAAATCTATTTTGAAGGAGCGCAAAGCGCCAAAGCGGCTCACCATGACACGGGCCCCAAAGGCCGTGCGTTTTACCGAAGGCACTATCACACCTCGACAACGAACGCACTTGGGACTGGACGTTCGCAGACTGCCTCCCAGCTCTGGTCGCGCCACTGAGCCAGTTTTCATTGGTAATATAAAGCTTGGACAGTCGGGACCCCCCGATGATGATAAATTGGATGTAGATGAATTGGAATATCTCCGGGCTCAACAAACAAATCGACATGTCAATTCAATTTTTCATGGGGCTAAAAGATCGAAGCATCTGCCACTCGCCAATGACGCGATTGATCCCTCGCTAGCGATCGAGCGAATGCTGTCAATTCCGTCGATCGAGCCACTGGCCATCAGCGACGACACAAGGGCTAGGATTGCCATTAAGAAAGAACAGGTTGCTCAGCAAGCAGCAGAAGACGCAAGGAAGTATGCCGAGGAGCGCGCCCGTCAAGAACTTGAAGAAAAGCTCGCCAAAACAGGGGGGCTTCGAGTTCCAGAGCAGCCTCTCGTGTCACCGCTCAGTAGTCACTGGCAAGAGCGGGCTCAAGAAACTCTCCACAAATCACCTAGAACTACGCTCGCAAAAACAGGAGACGGCATTGATCTCAGACGACACGACTTCGCCAAAGTTGTGAAAGCTACAGAGTGGCTCAACGATGAAATCGTCAATGGCTGTCTCAATTGGCTAGACCAATCCATCAATTCGGCTGCTGGCATTAAGGATGTCAAGAAGAGCACCCGCAAGTGTCTTGCTATGTCCTCCTTCTTCTTCAAATTTTTGCGGGAGAACGGATTCACCAAATCCGAAAGAACTCTTCGACGCCACGGAGTGGAAAAAAAGAACTTCCTCCATGTGGATACCCTGCTTCTCCCCATATGCGAGAGCTCACACTGGACGCTCCTCGTTATTCGGCCAAGCAAAAAGACCATCGCACATATGGATTCCTTGAATCCACGGGGTTCACAAACATATATCAATCTGGGGTTAGGGTGGCTCAAATACATTCTGGAGGAGACCTTTGTGGAAGATGAGTGGAAGGTAACACAACACGAAGCACCAATACAAACCAATGGGTACGACTGCGGCGTACACACCATCACCAATGGCATATGCGTTGCATTGGGCCTGAACCCAATTGACAGTTATACTACAGAAGACATGCCACAGCAACGTCTCAGACTGGCCAGCATGCTTTTGAACGGGGGCTTCACGGGAGAGTTCGACCTTGGTGTTTATTAATATCCTTCCCCCCCTTGCATCATTATGTTCTGCTTTATCTTGTTCTCAGCATTTTATTATGAGGCTTTATCTATTCTATGTCCTTCGCTACATGCTTTTGTACAACCGCATGTATGGCATGGTGTTCGGGAGGAGTTTTGCATAATTAGATACCCGATGTGGCTTAGGTGGTTTTCAGTTGACTATA